TCACTGCCAATGGTTCTTTAGCTGTACTTCCTAAAGTCTTTTCATAATGTGACTTCTATTGTCAGTGTCTACGAGATTGTCGTATTATTAAAACAAAACAAAACCAAAAACCCAAGTCTGAGTCATCCCTGTTTCTTGAAATAAATGGGCCAGAGTTAGGTGTTTTAGCAAACTCTTATAACATTATGGAACATCTGGAAGAAAGGCAGTGTGACTACTCATAAGGGCAGCAATAGGAAGTCCCAAATTCAGTGTTCATTCTAGTCCTTCTTAAGGTATTGGCTTAAGGAGGTAAAAAAATAACAAAGGTTCTTTGTTTCTTTTGTGGGTAGATAATGAGATTTTGGTGTCCAACTTAATCTGTATATAAGAACAAACTGAATAAATTGATACATGTAATCATAGTGTAATAAAGGAAAGTACTTGCTGCTACAAATATCACATGAAAAAGACTATAGTAAGTGACATAACATTTTCTGATCTTTGTCAACAGTGGGACAACAAAACGACCTTTTAGATGCCATGTTTCTAGATATCTGCATTTCACTTTACTAGTTATTGGGACCAGAGGAATTGCTAAAAATCTCCAGGAGTCTTAGTCTCATGGTCACTCCTCTCTTAAATAAGAAATGAGTAAATTTATTGAAGATTTGTAAGTAAAAAACATTAGGCATATGCAATCAACTGGGATACCTTCAAAGCATCTTCATTTAAGGTTTCCCATTATCCCTGTAAAATGTATTCTGTGAAGGAATTTCTTATTCTGTTAAAGGGGAGAGCACACATGGGTGGTATGGGGATAGCTAACAAACCCGAAACATGATAGTGTTTGATGTCCCCACTGTAGAGGAACTAGTACAGAAACCTTAAAGCGACAGAGGTCAATATGAGAAGGGAATCAGGAACTAGTGAAAAGATCAGTTAGAGATGAATCAACTTGGGATGTAACACATTTGTGCATGGAAGCAATTTGTGCTAGGAATCTCTCTGTATTGCTATCCTTATCTCAACTAGCAAAACCAGTTTGTCTTTCTTATTATTGCTTATACTTTCTCTTCCACAAAATTAGATTCTGCCTGAAAGCAAGGGGGGGGGGTGAGGGGGAGAGGGAGGGGGCAAGGGGTAAGGGGGGAAAATGGCCCAAACAATGTATGCACATATGAATAAAGAAAAAAAAAAAGAAAAACAAAACTAGCAGTGTCAGGACACTTTTCAGCATTCTCAGGCAATGGAAGGTCCCACAGTCACTTTTAATCATGTTTAGTGCATCTGATCCCATACCATAATTAAAATTTAGGACTTGGTGGTTTAAAGTTAAGTCTCACCTGTCTCCCTACTGAGAAGCCATATGCAGGTACAAAGCTGAGGAACAGGAAGGTCTCTCTCTCTCTCTCTTTCTCTCTTTCTCTTTTCCCCTGGACAAACATGGAACTATAGCTAGCAGCTGCCTTCAAGGCAGCAAAGATGCTTGCTACCCATCTCTCATGTGATTGCCCAGGACAGAGTTAGACCATTGTGTTCATCCTACCCAAGGGACATACAGCTTCCTGATGAATTCCACTATGTCCCTCTCTCTTGATAATCAGTGATTACCAATCTCACTTTTGTGAGAACTAATTTTTTCTTAAAAAAAATTAAAAACCAGCTGGCTGCTGGTGGCTCCCTAGTTACTTAGGAGGCTAAGATCTGGAGTATAGTGGTTCAAGGTGAGTTTGAGCAAATAGGTTGCTAGACCCCATCTCCAAAATAACCAGAACAAAATGGACTGGAGGTGTGGCTTAATGGTAGAGCACCTGCTTTGCACAATCCTGCCCCTGCCTCCACAAAATTGAAAACTTTCAATTCAATATCTTCTCCCCAATCCCCAACACTCCTTGATGTGACCAAATAGTTCCCGGAATATAGCAACTATTGTTTCTTGATGCCTTAGCCAATACTTTAATTGGAACATCCTGTAAGTATAGCATAGAATTTTTGTTTCTCGCCCTGCCTGGAGGAGGCTGGAAGGAACACAGGGCACCCAGTGGAGGATCTTGTCTAAGGCACCACTGGTTGTACTGAGGGGGTAAATGTCCTGCAGAACCACTAGAGGGGACTGTGGAGCTCAGTGGGCTGGAGGATGGGAAGGACTGCCAGAGGTAGAGGGATGGAGAGATCAGATACACTGACGAATCAGGAGCCAAGAGAGCTGAGGTGTGGATGAAGGCCGGAAGCAAGCAAGGCCACTGCTGCTAGGGACAAAGCATTTTAGCTAAGGCCTTCACAATGTGTAGCCTCATCCCCCTCCCCCACACCCCCCAACTATTTGCCCTTTCCAGACTGTGTCACACTCTTCAACACCTTCATGGTGTACATACGTTCTGTCAGGACATTAATACTCTCCTCTCCCAAACCCCTCCACTGCTTCTGTCTAACCATGGAGACCTACAGTCTAATGTTCTGTGAAGCCTTGTTATTTCCCTGTCTGAATGCTGTACCATCTCCCACATATCTCAGTTCCAGTCTCCACCGCACTCTGTTGTGCTTTATTAACTTGCTCTCACTGCTCCCCAAGAGACAATGGGTATTTCTAAGACAAGGGCTGTGCCTTCTTTATTTTTGTACTCCTACAGCCTATCATTGTGCTTCAGTGGCGTAAGGACTTATATCGGCTCTCTATTGCTGTGTAATTATCATACTTTTTTATCTTGAGTTTCTATGGAGCAGAAGTCTATGGATCGTGTGGCTGGATTCTCTGACTGGAATCTCATTAAGCTGAATTAAGATGTTGGCCAGGGCAGCAATTCTCATCCGGGGCTCAGGGTACTCTTTTAAAATTCACTTCCTGGCAGCTGTAGGACTGATATCCCCATTTTCCTATTGGCTGTTGTCTCCAGAACAACAAAATTTCTTGCCTTGCCGCCCCACTAGGTGGTTCACAATATGGATGTTTGCTAGCTTCCAGGCGAGCTGGAGCATATCACTCTGAAATCATCTATATAGAAGTTTCTGCTTTGAAATGGCTCACCTAATTAGATCAGGTCCTTCTATGATAATCTGCCTTCTGCCATATAATGTAACATAATCTCAGCTGAGATATTTCTACTCACACTCAAAGGGGAGAAAATTAAACAAGGGTGATGGTCACTAAGGTCATTCCAGAATTCTGCCTACCAGGGCTCAATGAATATTTATAGTATCAAATAAAATGTATTCCTGAAATATTAAGTTTTCTACACTGCTATTCAATTGTAAATTTTTTTCTATTGCCAATTTGGAGAGTTTAGATTGGAAATTTGTGGTGGATCCAGAATGGGTGAAGATGCTGAATTTAACACAGTAAGTTCAAGCAGTACTGGAAACTAGGGGCTGGGTCAAGATTTGGCCCATGCTGACTGGCTGGGTGACCTTGGGCTCAGTCCCTGATATTCTCTAAATTTTAGACTTTATACTCCTCCTGTATAAAATGGCGACAATGTCTAAGGTTGGCTAGTTCTCATATGCTATAGTCTCTAAGACCAAATCATCCTTATCAAATTAAAATCTAGTGGCTCATTATATCCAAATAGTTCGTAAAAGAATTTCATTATAGATGGTATTATAGTGATGTAATTTTAGAGGAAAACACAATTTTTAAAAAGTTTTAAAAACTGCTTATACATTTATTCATATGTGTATACACTGTTTGGGCCATCTCACCCCCTGCCCTCTGCTTCCTACCCCCACCCCATCCGCTTCCAGGCAGAACCTGTTCTGCCCTTTTTTCCAATTTTGTTGAAGAGAAAACATAAGCGATAATAAGAAAGACACAGCATTTTTGCTAGCTTGAGATAAAGATAGCTATAGAGAGAGATTCCTAGCATTGCTTCCATGCACATGTGTATTACAACCCGAATTAGTTCATCTCTACCAGACCTCTTCATTACTTCCTGGTCACTTTCCCATAGTGGCCTCTGTCAGTTTAAGATTACTTTACTCACTCCTCTATAATGGGCACATCAAACACTTTTAAGTTTTAGGTTTCCCTCCCTTTCCCTATTCCTTCTGTACACATTCTCCCCTTAGTGTGTGACCCATGTCCAATAATATTGCTGCATTTGTTTTAGGTCTATAATCCACATAAGAGGGAGAATATACGATTTTTGGCCTTCTGAGCCTGGCTAACTTCGCTTAAGATAATGTTCTCCAGTTCCATCCATTTACTTGCAAATGACAAAATTTCATTCTCTTTGTGGCTGAGTAAAATTCCATTGTGTATAAATACCAAATTTCTTAATCCATTCATCAGTAGCATCTTGGCTGTTTCCATAACTTGGCTAATTGTGAATAGTGCTGCAATAAACACGGGTATGCAGGTGCCTCTGGAGTAACCTGAGTTGCGTTCCTTTGGATATATCCCTAGGAGTGGGATGGCTGGATCATATGGCAGATCTATGTTTAGTTTTTTAAGAAGCCTCCATATTGTTTTTCCAAGTGGTTGTACTAGCTTACATTCCCACCAGCAGTGTATGGGGTCCTAGCCAACATTTGTTGTTGGTGTGAGAAAACACAATTTTTGTTTTTAAGTGAATCCTTTCCAACATTGGTTGAATCTAAGCATAATCAATGGTACAAAACTACATTTTTACTACTATGTATAAAATGGTGAAGAACATTTGGTATTTAGGTGACATACCTGTTCAATAATGATTAGAAGTGAATTTCTCCCAAGATATTAAGACTTGATAAAATTATTGTCTTATAAGTTGAATTGACTTAATTGATGATAACTGAATCACTATCAAAGGCAGTCTTCAATACTGCAAATCAATTTACTGACTATGTTAAGCATGTTGAGATTCTTAAATACAATTTGGGGTTTAAGTCTTTCTTTTGTCTTTCTGAAATGAAGCTTCTTTGGCTAGGATAATTATTCTCTTCTACCCAACAAAAATGAACTCTAATTTTAAACAGGTATTATTAAATTGCACTGAAATAGGCTTCATGCAGATATATTCATTAAAACATCCCTTTATTGACTGTGCAGATATTACAATTCACATTTCACTTTATCTACTGAGTAGAAAAGCATTTATTCTTTCATTAAAAAGTTAAGCCCTTCAGGGCAGCAGAGGAATGCAAGCCTTCTTCCTATAAATGACACTGTCCAGTGCATGTGAAGTGTTTACACATTAATAAAAAAGGAAAAATGAATCCAACAAATGCATCTCTCCCACCTTCCATCATCCCCCTCTCTGCCAATACACTCCTCTTATTTTATAAAATGCCCATAAGTAAAGAGTTCCCACATGGGTTCTTCCATTAATCAGAAGAGGAATGGCAACACTTCTGTGTCACCACTAAGTTCAGAACATCCTTAGGTTTCTGTGAAAGTGACAAAAGGAATATGAAGTCATTATCTCAGGAAGATGCCTTGTGACAGAGGGTAGAAAATCATGGAGGCAACTGGTCAGTCTCTAGAATCTTGCGCAAGTTTCAGGAGCTGTTTTTCAAGTTTTGAGGTGTTTACTCGATGCATCATCAGAAACTGGCCATTCAAATGAAACACAGGAATGTCAAATTTATACCTTTCATACCAAGCAGAGTTTTCTGGAAGTGTGATGTCCACCTCCTGTAAAATAAACTGAAACACAGGCAGGCTAAAGTTTGGTGTTAGAGACCATGGAATGATGCCACAACTGTAGTGATCTACTGACTCCCCCTGACCCCAGACTGTTTCTAAGGCTGAGAGGTTTTGCTGTCTTTTGTTTGATTTAGGTCCACAGTGATCCAATAACCCTCATTTTCTAAACTTGGCTGGTTTCATTAGGCTGCATCCCCTACCTCCTGATCTTGGCACTTTTCTATTACACCTGCTACACTCAGCAGCAGGGCTCTACTCAGTTCCTAGTGAAATAAAACATGTCCCAGCTGGGAAGTTGTCTGAGAATCAGGACAGAAGTGTTGTGATTGTAAATGACAAAGGTGTGATGGTTTGCTACATGAAAATACTTCCATGGAAGTTACAAAATAAGATGAAAGGAAAGGGGACAAAAGTTTAAAGAAAGCAACAATACTGCACCTGCTAGTTAACTTTGAATCATATATAAGTCAGAGTAAAAAAAATCAGTAGTTCAAAGGAAAACACTTAGGGGTAATGAGTTTTATGGAAATCAGCACTACACATTCTCTGAAGAACAGAATGAAAATCTAAATGAAAAATTATTTAATCTCTTTTCCTAAAGAAAGGATCCAGGCTGATACTTCATACTATATATGATATCCATCCCATATACATAAGAGCCACAATGTACTGTATTACCCTGTTTTTATAAGGCTCAAGTACTTCCTTGGCTTCATCACAAAGGGGGCATGGATCCTACAGGAAGGAAAAAAAAATAAAGCTGTTAAACCCAAAGAATGGTATTTTGCCTAACAAAAGAATAAGAAGCATATTATATTTATCTTAAAGGATAGTTTTCTACCAGGTTAATTACACTGCTTTATTTCCAAAGCAAAACATTACCACAGAATCTTCTAAATAGCTAGTGTTTAATGATAGATGGGCTCCCAGTACTTTTGGATTGCTTTGATTTTTCTCATGTGTGTGTGTGTGTCTGTATGTGTGTGACACATACATATATAATACACACATATGCATGTGTGTGTGGCTAACAAATTTAGATGCTTAATATTTTTTACTGATATATCTAAGGGTTTTTAATTCCTAATTCAGCAGCACCTTGGCAGCCGACACAACCAGGATGGCTTAAAGTCTGTTCTAATTGGGAGGCACTAAACCTCACCAAACTGTTTTTCCTAATTACTCCACAGAAATAAGTCTGTCAGTGTAGAGTAACATAGTGATTGTCCTACCTTTAAAAAGGGGAAAAAAAATCTTTATTCACTTCAGATGATGATTGTACCAATTCATAATGTTCGCCTGTTTTTTTATTATAAGTGTCAGCAACAGGTATCCTGGACTAATGGATACCTATTGTTGTTTGCTATCTTAAACTATCTTGTGAAGAAGTTTGCTGAGAATATAGACTGACAGATTTTAAAGATTCTCAGCCATTGAGTCTTAGAAAAAGAACTAGCTATAGGTTCTCTTACATGAGCTCAAAATAGATTCAACATTACAGATGCTTATATAAAACCTGCTTTTTAACATATCAGAAAGAGATGAGCTATTATGTAAGAGAAGCCCTTCCTCCCAGCTTAACTCAAAGGTATTTTGAAACAAGGAGGACTGACGTATTTTTGAGGCCTTTTTGGCCCTAATTTCCTAAGTCAGAGAATTAGGCCCATCAAGTTGTTAATAGCATTACAATAAAACAGATTATGCATAGTTTGTGATTCTGTAAAACAATCATGCTGACATTTTCTGAAAAGGTGTCAAAAAGTCAACATAGGATCTTAAAAGTAAAAGCAAAACAAGAAGATGCTAAATTGCAGAAGTACCACATATACTAAAATTTAGCTTTTTTTATTAAAAGTTTTTAGATTTTAGACCCAGATGTTTTGTTTTGTTAAACTAGGGATGTTTAATTTACATGCATATATGTGTAAGTATTTTTATGAAGAGGTTCATCACACTTTAAAAAGTATAAGGAACCAAGACAGGATAAGACCTTACGGAATGGATGGTTCAAATATCCTTTCCTTGGATTATCCTTAAAGTACTTGTCATTTACTCCATCCTTGAATTGTAAGGTACATTTATTAAGTTGGCTATCCATCACCCACTCCCCTTTCTTATAGTAAGAATGCTGTAATTTAGCTCCACAGGAACTACTTTCAGGATGTGACTATTTCACCTCTGAGCAATAAAGATGGAATACTTGACCTAGGCTCAAGCAATAAGGACATCCTATCCCTCTTCCTATGACTGGCTCTGGGAGACATGCTGGAATTTCTATAATGTCTAAGAAGTGAGATTTTTGGACTTGAGATTGCTGCTGTCATCCATGACAAGAGCTAGAGTGAGGATGGATTTAACCCAGAAGAAATAAAGCTGACAAGACTGGTAACCTGCTTAGTTCCTGTATCAATTTATTCCTAAAACCTGTAAAATCTCTTTTTTGTTTAAGTCACTCTGGGAACTACTTTCTATTATTTAGACCAGAATGGAAATAATACAATACTTAAGTATTCTTTCAGTGGATTGTGAATTACTGAAGGGGGGAGAATAATATCTTAACTTCATGTGGCTCAGTACACATTTTAAGCTGAATGGAAAGGTGGGGTTTTCTTGGTGTGTGTATGTGTGTGTGTGTGCTTTAAATAAATGTTTTTGGCTACCTCATCTGCTACCCAAACTAAAAGATAGTGCAGAATAGTAGGCCAAGTGAAAACAAATGGCCTTAAAGGACTATTTTATTTTTCTGGCTCATTCTCATATAAATTTTCTATCACAGACTCTCATATAATGAGATACTTTTGGTTCTGTAATTTCCAACAGTGAGATATATATTCACGGATATAAAAAGTATGTTAGATTAAATATTCTCAACAAGTCATTTTAAAAAACAACGTAAATTTTATTAGATAACTCAAATCTTTTCAAATTGCTAAAGTGCCTGAAATCTGAAAAATCTATCAAAAAGAGACCTTTTGTTTGAACTGCAGCATTATTCACAAAAATAACTTCTATTGCTCTGTACTTTCCTTTTTGATTATAAACTATAAGTAGCAAAAAGAAATCACTAATGTTTGTATTATAAACTAGCAAAAAAGAAATCACTAATGTTTATTTTATAAATTTCAGGATGGGAAAGCTCTTAAGTATTTTTAAAGTTGCTTTATAGTTGAAAAGTAGTGTTTGGGATAAGAAAACAAGTACAATCAATCCTTATTATTCATGGATTCCATGTTTTGTGAGTTTACTTACTTGCTAAAACATATTTGTAACTCCAAAATCAGTACATGAAGCACTTTTGTGGTCATTCATAGACACACACATGCAGACAGTAATAAAAAAAACTTCAGCTGCTAGAAGCATTCATTCTAAACTAAGGTCCAACAAGGAAATGGCTTGCCTTCTTGTTTCAGCTCCCATACTGTACATATAGGTTAGTGTCCTTCTGGATAGCGCCATGGGTGTTCCTTTATTGGTAACCATTTTTGCTTTTGTGCTTTTTGTTGGTGATTTTTAAATACTGCCTAGCAATCCTAAGCATTTCTTTCTTTCTTTTTTTTTTTTTAGTACTGGGGCTTGAACTCAGGGCCTTCACCTTGAGCCACTCCACCAGCCCTATTTTTGTGAAGGGTTTTTTTGAGATAGGGTCTCTCAAACTATTTGCCCGGGCTGGCTTCATACAGCAATCCTCCAGATCTCTGTCTCCTGAGAAGCTAGGATTACAGGCGTGAGCCAGTGGCGCTAGGTTCTAATTCTTATGGAGAAAATATGTATGCTAGATAAACTTCATTTAGTCAGGAGTTATAGTACTGTTGACCACAAGTACAGTGTTGATGAATCAACAATGTATATTAAATAAGGCATTTTAAACAGACTGGTTGACAAAAATACTGTGATCAGAGCTCATGGGGACCAGCTAATTGTGTTCATGGAGGTTTTATAGAACAAAAATAAGAACTGACTTATTTCTAAATGGCATATTTTTAAACATGACATTGCGATCTATATTCTTTTCAATGGAGGGGTCAGGTGACCATTAGATATATTAATTTACTCTCTGAAAACTTGAAGATAATGAGGTGTCTGGAAAAATTTACTGCTTCTGTGCTGTTAGAGAAATTGAAGAGCAGGTCTAAAAAGAGTTTATTTCATTGCCTTTCCTCTACCCAGTCTGTCCCCTTTTCATAAATGTACAACTTTCTTCACATAACAATTTCAATATATATCTTTTTTTGGAGTTTGAATTGACGGCCTTGTGCTTGCTAGGCAAGTGCGCTTCCTGGGGCTCAAGCCAAGTCCCCAGCCCTCTTTTGTTTTAGTTGTTTTTCAGAGAGGGCCTCATGGTTTTTGCCAGGGTGAGTCTGTGATCCTCCTACCTATGCCTCTCATCTAGCTTGATTCACAGACACATGCTGCCATGCCCAGCTTGTTTGATGAGGTGGGGTCTCACTAACTTTTTTTTGTTGTTGTTGAGCTGGGGGTACATTGTGGCATTTACAAAAGTTCTTACAACGTATCTATCAAATATATCGTAGTTGAATTCACCCCTTCCATCATTCTCACAATCCTCTCCATGTCTACCTCCCAAGCAGCTGGGATTACAGATGGGTACCACTATACCTAGCAAGACTTTATTTTTTTAAAGTAGTAATTTTACTTTTCCAGTCCGTACCTTTGTGAATAAGGTTAGCACAGGCAGTCTAGTCTTAGAGGCAGAGAGATTTCGCAAGGAGTGTCTAAAGGAGGATTTGGCAAGTTGCATGCTATTTCCTTGAAACCAGAACATTTTAATTCTGCCAAAAGAAAAATAGACAGGTAACTTATAAACTTACCCATAGTAGACTTTGCTCTTTACAATACAAACAGTAAATTACAAGTTAATAATGAATTTGAAGGCTTCAGAATTATGCCTTGGAATCCAAGAGTGTCAAAGCGGCCCAGATGTTTGGCAACTTTCCGTAATGCTCCAATATTCAATGTATTCCAAACAACACAGAATTTAGAATGGAAAAAATCCATTATGGATTAGCTGTGTGCCTAATCACTTGGTTTCTGTACACAAACTACATGGCTTTGTTAATTTGAAAACAAAATTAAATTTTACCTGCAGATTTTGCCAGTGTTCTGATGATTCTCCTAAAAGTGGAGGTACCCTGAGATGGTTTTTAGTCACAGTGATAGCTTATCTTATTGGCAAACATCCAAAAATATTGAGCCCTGCCACAGAAAAGGAAGTAATAAGTAAACAGTACAAGTCACCAGCTGATGGAGAAGGCCATCTCTTATGAAGTCTGTGCTCCTCCCTGATGACATGGGGAAAACACAAAGCTGTAGTTAGAGAAACTAGAGAGGAGAATTGGGCTTAGTTGACTTGTTAGAAAATAAAAATCTCTGTTCAGTTCCTTAAGAAGTACTTTAAAAGGAGATTTCCATGATTTTCAAAAACTTCACACACAAATGTACTAGTGTTTTTACTGGAAAGATTCCAATAATCGTAATAGCAGCATGTCAAACACTAGGCTTTGAAGCTCCCTCATCCTGCTACTTTGCTTGACATGATACCCTATTATTCCTAGCTATTCTACTGAGCTTCCAGCTTCATCTTTAAAGCTACAAATATTATAATTTCACTTTTAAAACACATGTGCACTGTTGGCTTTTTCATTTCGTAACATTCCCAAGATGAACTTATTCCTGGGATGATCATCATTTCTTAACTTTACTTCAGCTCTATCTCTTCAACTTCACCCACCACTTTCCCCTCCCTTACCTTGGCAAATTGTAGTTGCAAAAATTTTCCTCTAGTCCTTGAGTAACCAGAGGTCATTTCTTCATCAGGATTCTGCACTTGCTTTCCCTTTGCATGAAAACCACTTAAGAGGCTTCTCCTCATTAGCCCTGGGGCTCATATGTCACTTCCTTGAAGAGGCATTCATAGCCACCTTACCAATACTGGCCAGCCCACAATTCTCCATCCTCAGATCCTATACGTTTTTCTTTGCTCTTTACTACTTAAAATTACTTATGTCCCAATTTAAGTTCTGTAAGACTAGGTAATTCTTTTTACCCCTTTATCTCTTAAGTACTCACAATTCATCTGGCATATAATAATGCCTAAATATTTATTTGAATGTTAAAAGTACTGGAATGAGCTTTTCCTTCCTTCTGTAACCTCACCTATACTCCTGTTCCATCACTCAGTGTATAGAGCAGTCTCTGTTTAAGCCTGTCTCATAAAGGTTAGTGATCCTCAGGGTGTTCACAAGACTCTGGGCTGGAGCGCTACAGTTAGTTCTAAATTCTTCACTGTCACCATCTCACATCTTCACCTGCTCTGCTCCACAGAACATGACTATATTAATTAAGTGATAATCTTCACTGGCAATTAGATTCCTCTGTGTAAGATTAGCCTTAAACTCAATTCAAACAGAATAGTATGACTTTAGAGAAAACCACCAATCTGTATCAAGCTACAATAAAGGCCACAGGGCAAAAAGATCAGATACTGATCCATAAAAACAATGATCTTTCCTTTATTCTTAAGACCCCACTCTTCCACTTCTACCCAGTCTCTCTGCTAACTAAATGATCCTGATAATGCACAGAAAAGGAATGTGATGAGAATTCCACAAGGATTTGCTATACAGAGTGGGAAATGGATGCAAACAATTCAACAAAATTCTGTTACTCTCATCTAAGCCTTGGCATCTACATTTTCTGTAAATTTAGCAGAATCAACACCATAGGTAGATGTGGATAGAGATATAGCTTCTAAACACAGCTTTGTCTACACAGGACATAAGTGAAAGGGGAAAACTGAATGTCTCACAATAAGGCTGGTATATAGGTAGAAAAATTTCTGCATCAATGGATTTGGAAAGGCTCATACTCTCATAGGATATGGTATCAAAGAAGGATGTGATATCAAAGAAGAAAATAAGAAATCAGCTTTATTAAGGTCAGAAATAGAACCCTTGAAAATGGGACGCTTCAGGCTGTCTAAGGCAGTGACCTAAGACTGAAACCAGGATGGTCAACTGCAATGCAGCTACACACTTTTGGTGGGTAAAAGATTTATTGTTATCTGGCTGGTAAGGAAAGGAAAACTTATTGCTTCTGCCTACCTGAGTTGAGACTGAAGTATTAGGTTTAAAAAAAAATTACATTCACAATGGAAATCTGCTTCGGTATTTCCTCCATGAGAAAACACAGCATGTAGTCTTGGTTGCGCCTACGACAAATAAAACCTGTCATAGTAAACAGAGTTGCTATTCATTCCAGATTTGCTAGAATATTTGCTCAACCAACCCTGAGAGCTAAGTAAAGTCTTCACTGATACTACAATCTTTCTGTTTACAACACATTCTTTTCCACTACTATTTTCCATTTCTACTTTTTTCATACATTTTAAATTACTCAAATGTGGCACATTGGTTTACTGAGAAAGGTATAAATGTTATGAAATTTTACAACCTGCATATTTTCTAAATGCCCTAGATAAATGCATGTTTCCATATTGTTCAATTAACTTGCTTCTTTGAAAGTATTTATTATAAATTTTAAAGTCTAATATAAAAAACTGCTCCCTATCCCTCTCCTACACAAATACTAAAACTGAAATTAATTCCTAGAGTCCACTTATTACTAGAAAAAACAAAATGAAAAATGATATAATCCAATGGGAACTCTGTATATTCTTCTTTGTACATCTTACTAACTCTATAAACCCCAACACCATCACTGTCAATGTAACATTCACCAAATCATGCCTTCTTAAAGTAAGGCTACTCTGTCAATGTGACATTTTCATTAGTTCTATTATTTTTTGAGCAGTATCTTAGCACTATAAAAAAAATCCTGAAAGTGGTCTCTGCTTATTAGCTTACAACTGTGGGAATACAACAATTTTTGATTATATAGTTGAATTTAGTCATGAAATATGTGTCCTTAGTATATACACAGACACAATTTTATCCTTTGTATCTTGTTACATGTCTCTGTGATATGAGCACAAAGAGCTGTGTTCATAATATCAAAGAAGCACAACTGGGTCACCTCTGTCACAGAATAAAAAAAAAACCAAAAGGCTAAGACTAGATTTAGAATGTGCTTAAAACAAATTCCAAAGCCTAACAATAAAGATGGTAACCCCTGCTGTTTCAAGTCCAGTGCACTCAGAGAGACATGGATCCCCTAAAAGCGAAAGAGACTGCTAGCCTTTCTACAAAACTGAGGCTGACTTCAGTGGTCTTTATGGTAGACTCAAATACAACATTGGGGGGGAGGACTGATTGGTCCAATTCAGTCCTCTTTGAAAAAGACAGGGAAGATAACTTAACTTTACAGCATTTTCCCTGAAAAGCGCTGAAGGGTATAGCATTAAAGTAGCTGATTACAGTAGAGGAAGACACCAGGGTTGTTTTAGCCTTTATTAAGGACTATTCACTTCTTGCATGAGGAGCCGCCCAGGCTATAGCTGCCCATCATTATTGTGAGGCTCCTAGGTTTTCTAACACCATATGCATCTGATTAGGAGGAAACAACATTGCTCTTGCTTGAGCAGAGAAACTGACCTTCACTGACCAGAATTTTATTCTTATAAAAGAGTCCTTTGGCACACCAAAGCTCCAAGCTCACATGATCCTTCATCAGTAAGCTACAGTGTTAGTTCATGTGCAAAATCAAAGTCTATGTAAGCCCAGGTACCGCCTTGGTTATTAACAGATGTTAGCGCTTCTTCACAAGACCATAATGTAAATTTAATGCTGAGCTGACATTAACCAAATACTATTATCATAGCTCTTGCTAAGCTCATATTCCATAAAGACAGCTCAGGGCTTCTACTTAGTCATTTGTGCATGTGAGAAGTTAAGTGCTCCATTTCACATTCATTACCATCTAAGTAATAATGTTCCTATTTTTACACAAATGAATAGAAACACACACACACACACACACACACACACACACACACACAAACACACTCCTCTGGGAACAAACTGCATTACTTTATTGAAAGTTTATGTAATGAGGTGAGGTTGCTCTTAGGGGACTCCTCTGGGTCACTGGACCCTACCTAATCCAGAAAAATAGGGACAAATAATGACTCCCCAGTGTTCCCCCTGTGAATTTGGTCAGTCAGCTGTGCCTGAATCCCACTCCCTTCTCAACGAGTGGGAGCCTGGAATCTTGGATGCAAGGACAAGAGAGAGAGAAGGGTCCTTGTGGAGCTAACAGTAACATAAAAAAACACCCTATAGGGACAATATCAAAATTGAAAATTGAACAGGTACTTTGAGGTGTTAATTCTAACTGGCTAAGTGGGGGTGGAATGAGGCTATAGAACAGAAATGGAATGGGGGAGGGGCTAATTCATTGGTGTGGGTGGGATTTCAGGTGCTTCTCTAGTGAGTGCTTCAGTCCCATCAGTCAGGGTACGTGCCCTGGGAAACAGCTAAGAAGTGGTGCCAACTCAGACAAGAGATTGCAACAAAGATCCTGAGCTAACCAGCCAACTGTGGGCCTGTTGTACATGGCATCCTGCTGAGCTGCGTTCTGACTATGCAGTTGGAACTGCTGATTTACTTCCACACAAAACATTAAACTATGAGTAGGCCTACATCATGCCCTAGTCCCAAGGGGCAAGTATCTCCTATCCCACACTCCCTCCCTACAGATTTCCGTGACAACAGGTTCTCCACACAAAGGACTAGAGAAGCCAGTACAGAATCAGTGTCCAGAAAGGACTTATTGGTCACATGAGTGCCCACAGACAAAAGCCCTTTAATTTCTA